CCCCCCCCCCCCCCCTCTAAATGCCGCGAGCCGTAGGAAATTTGTTTAGTAAATGTTGCGAAACCCGACCTTCGACGAGTAAAGAGGTTTAGGTTTGACTTCTGGCTGAGCCAATATTTTCCGCCACACTCGCTAAAAAAGTTTTCTATAAGGTCCGGGGCATTTGCAGGAGAATATTTAACCCTAGTTTGGCATTCACGGGTCAAATTGACTTAAGCAAAAAACTAAGATCCCATAATTATTGAATCGTGAATTAATACACATAGAAACGTACAATTATTTTCTTAAAGCTTTCGAAATTTTTTCTTCTTTCTATGTAAAATCAATAAAAAGATATTTTCTCATACTTCGAAATATTTATTTGAAAAATAACGATTGCGACAAATTTGCCGAAAAATTGCCTTTTTTGCACATTTAAAATTAGAATATTTGCATATTAGATATATACATTTACAGATATTAAAGTAAGGACGTATCAGAAAATTTACTAGATTTCATAAACTCAGTGTGTATAAATCCATAAACTCAAAGCAATGCTGAAGTAAACAGCAAATAGTAAGTGTGCCGATGAAAGGTTAATGTTAAAAATATCAATCGCAGAATAAAGGGTTGGTTCGACGTGAAAGATGACTGCAACACCCCACATGCATAAAAGTCAGTCCGATATGCGTACTTTACACACCGTCGAACAATTTGATCCTGACGATAAGATTGAAAATTATCGCGCTCAGCGTTCAGTGAGCGACATCTCTTATTAGCCTTTCATTCTTAACTAGTTATTTACCATCAAGGAGCCTTCAGTCTTTCAATATTTCTTTTTCATATCGGAAATCCCACTGTTAAATCGGTTCCAATGCGAAGTAGCAGGAGCGCATGCATAGTAAAAAATTTGGCATTAAAAACGGTCCATTGAAAATTCTTGTTATTTTAGCATATTCACCTTGATAGTATATTACTTTTTACCATCTATAATTAATACCACTTTTTAATAATATTACTTCAATAATATTATTTTTAACGTATTCACTTTGTTAAAATAACACGAAAATTTTAGTGGATTGTTTGTGACGCAATTTTGTTTACTGTGCACGGGCCGTCGATGAGCAATAAGCATGAGACGCCGTGGAAAAAGGTGGCGGCTCTGGAGACGTGCGAAGGGTTCGCGAATCAGTGTCGTGGGAGGTCAAGCATTTTCACACGGCTCGTGGTCAGAGAGTCCGCAATTTCGGCGAGACACGGGATGTAACGCTTGTGCGCACACAGGAGAGAAAAATCGAAACACGGATGCGCGTCGTTTATCGCATGAATATTTAGCCGAGGACTCGGCCCTCGGGGATGGCATGCATGGGTGAGAATGGCCGAGACCTGGATAAGGGCTTTCCCGGCGCTTTCACGCGCCGTTGTCCACCCCGATTTGCGACTCGCTGAATCCACGGCGTACGGTCGTTACGGAACGGCAGGGGAACTCGGTCGAAGCCGGACGAACTGGAGGAAATCCGGGAAGATGGTCCGGTCGAATCGCGACCGTAAAGTCTCTCGCG